CGCGTCTCTATCTTCTGTATCTTTTTCCTCCCTGGCATTATGCCTGCCTTCTCCCTCTCTTTTCTTCCTCTTTCTGTCTGTCTCTGTGTCTCTCTCTCTTCTTTGTCATGCTGTTTCTCTATGTATCATTCTCTTTCTCTCCCTTTCTGTCTTTATTTCTTTTTTTAAAATATTTATTTTATTTATTTGAAAGACAGAGTTACAGAGAGAAGTAGAGACAGAAAGAGAGGTCTTCCATCTGCTGGTCCACTCACCAGATGGCCGCAATGGCCGGAGCTGCAACAATCCGAAGCCAGGAGCCAGGAGCCTCCTCCGGGTCTCCCACAAGGGTGCAGAGGCCCAAGGACTTGGGCCATCTCCCACTGCTTTCCCAGGCCATAGCAGAGAGCTGAATCAGAAGAGAAGCGGCCGGCGCTGCGGCTCAATAGGCTAATCCTCCGCCTGCGGCCCCAGCACCCCGGGTTCTAGTCCCAGTCGGGGCGCCAGATTCTGTCCCGGTTGCCCCTCTTCCAGGCCAGCCCTCTGCTGTGGCCTGGGAGTGCAGTGGAGGCTGGCCCAAGTGCTTGGGCCCTGCACCCCCGTGGGAGACCAGGATAAGCACCTGGCTCCTGCCTTCAGATCAGCATGGTGCACCGGCCGCAGCGGCCATTGGAGGGTGAACCAAAGCAAAGGAACACCTTTCTCCCTCTCTCTCTCTCTCTCTCACTGTCCACTCTGCCTGTCAAAAAAAAAAAAAAAAAAGAAACACCGATGAGCATCCGGGACTAAAACCACTGCCCCCATGATATGCCACTTTCTTTCAGCCAAGGGCATAAACCAATTCACCGGATCACCAGTGTCCTGGGCCTCTGCACCTGTATCTCTCTGTTCGTGAGGACACCCTCCTGGACAAACATGCTTAGGACTCACATTCCTCTCCTCCTTGTATGAATTTCATCATGGTCTGACTAAGCACTGAGCTACCACCTAAATGATTAGGACACTGTACAAAAGGGCTAATTATTTACTGCCAGGGGGGACTTCTCCGGCGTGGTCAGGCAAGTTTGAGAAAAAGTTGATGCCTAAAGATCAAACAAAAACGGACCAGTTGCATTCAGTTCCACATAGAAGTTTGGAAGAGACCTAAAAGAGTTTGATCTCTTATCATAGGAGCATCTCCCGGGCTCCCCCACCCAGAGCTGTGATCTTGCCTGGGTATAAATATCATTCTTTAATTCTGGCAACAATTATGCTAAACAGAATAGCCTACATGATGACAATCTGGAACAAAGCTAACTCCTCAAGAGGGCTACCATATTTTCTTTCCCATGAGAACTACCCCTT